AGCTTTATCTTCCCTGATAGCTCAGTTGGTAAAGAATCCGCCTGCAACACAGGAAATCCCGGTTTGATTCCAGGGTCGGGAAGATCCCCTGGAGAAGGGATGGGTTACCCACTGCAGTATGCTTGTGCTTTCCTGGTGGCTCAGCTGGTAAAGAATCTGCCTGCAATGCGGGAGACCTGGGATCAATCCCTGGGTTGGGAAGATCCCCTGGAGAAGGGAAAGGGTACCCACTCCAGTATTCTGGCCTGGAGAATCCCATGGACTACATAATCCATGGAGCCGCAGAGTCAGACACGACTAAGCAACTTTCACATTCACTCCCTTCACACTTTCACTTCTGCCTCTCACATATTATTCTGCGACAGATTCTAGAGATATCATTTTAAGTGTAATTAGTTTCATACGTAACATTGAAGACGTAAAAAAATAACTTCGTACTATTACTAACCAAACAAACGAACAATTTCTTAGTGTCAGATTCTAGTGTTCAGACTTCTAACTGTCGGTTAGTGCTCCTTGCCTTTTGCAGTCTGTTTGGATCCAAACTCGTCTCACTCGCACTGTCTTAATCTGCATGCTCCCCTGCTGGTTTTCTTTTTCCCTTTGCAATCTATTGAGGAAATGCTACTCTTTGTTGTTCTTAAAAGTATTCTTCATGGTTTGTCTTAAAATGTTTTTTTTTTTTAATCTCAGCTATAGTTGAGTGAATGACCTTTTCCACTTCTAATATTGTCTTTTTTCTACATTAATCTTGCCAGAAGTATGCTTGTTGCTATTATTTTTTAAACAAAAGGCCAGCTTTTGGTTTTGTTGAATCTTCCTTTTTATAAATTTTGAAGTTCATTTATCTCTGCTCTTCTATTATCATCCTTTCTTTGGATTCTTCAGTCATTCTTTTAGCTTCTTTAGCTGAATTTTAGCTCACTAAGTTTAAATATTTTTCTTCTTCTAATATTAGTATTTATGATCTCAAGTTCCCTGAAGTACATTTAGGGATATCCTGTAAGTTACGATATGTAGTATTTTCACTGTTACTAAATTTTTTTTTATAAATGTGTTAAAATTTTCATCCTGATTTCCTCTGTGATGTATCAATTAGTAGATGATATATTATTTCTCCCATCCAAGTACTAACCAGGCCCGACCCTGCTTAGCTTCCGAGATCAGACGAGATTGGGTGTGTTCAGGGTGGTGTGGCCGTAGACGATATATTATTTCTAAACATTTTTTTTTAAATTGAAGTTTAGTTGACTTATGCTGTACAGCAAAATTATTCAGTTATACACATATATAGGCATGTGTGTATATGTATATATACACATTCTAAAGATAGAGTTTTCCAAAATGGTTTAACTAATCTATTGAATATAGTTCCCTGTGCTATATAGTAGGACTTTGTTGTTTATCCATTCTATATAATAGTTTGCATGTGTTAACCCCAAACTCCCACTCCATCTCTTCCCCACCGTCCCTCCTCCTAGGCAATCAAACGTCTGTTCTCCACATTTGTAAGACTGTTTCTGTTTTGCAGGCAGGTTCCTTTGGGTCCTATTTTATATTCCACATGTAAGTATATCCTACAGTATTTGTCTTTTTCTGATTTACTTCACTTAGCATGATAATAGCTAGTTCCATTCATGTTGCTGCAAATGGCATTATTTTGTTCTTTTTTATGGCTGAGTAGTATTCCATTGCATACACGTAACACATCTTCATCCTTTCAACTGTCAATGAATATTTACATTGCTTCCATGTCTTGGCTACTATAAATAGTGCTGCTAGGAACACAGGAAGGCACTACAGCTTTATCTGGATATATGCCCAGGAGTGCAACTCCTGGATCACATGGTAATTCTATTTTTAGTTTCTTGAGGAACCCCTGTACTGTTTTCCATAGTGGTTGCACCAACTTACATTCCACCAACAGTGCAGGCGCGTTCCCTTTTTTCCACACCCTCATTAGTATACGCTATTTGTAGACTTTTTAATGACGGCCATTCTGACCAGTGTGAGGTGGTACCTCATGCTAGTTTTTATTTGCATTTCTCTAGTAATTAGCAATGTTGAGCACTTTTTCACATGCCCACAGGCCATCTATATTTTTTCTTTGGAGAAATGTCTATACAGGTTTTCTGCCCATTTTTCGCTTGGGTTGTTTTTTTGTTGAGTTGTATGAGCTGTTTGAATATTTTGGAAATTAAGCCCTTGTCAGTGCATTATTTGCAAATATTTTCTCTCATTCAGTAGCTTGTCTTTTCATTTTGTTTATAGTTTCCTTGGCTGTGCAAAAGCTTCTAAGTTTGATTAGGTCCCATTTGCTTATTTTAATTATATTGCCATGGGAGACTGACCTAAGAAAACATTGGTACAATTTATGTCAGAGAATGTTTGCCTCTGTTCTCTCCCAAGAGTTTCAAAGTTTGTTTTAAGTCTCTAACCCATCTTGAGTTTATTTTTGTGTATGTATGGTATGAAGATTTGTTCTAACTTCACTGATCTACAAGCAACTATCCAACTTTACTAGTGCCATATGGAGTTTTAAAGTTATCTTTTGGTTTCTGGTAGCTAATTTAATTGTACTTTTGTCACAGAATGCTCTGTATGTTACCAAGCACTGGTGTGTATGTGAGACTTCCCTTTTTCCATCCAGTGTATGGGTCAGTTTCCATAAATGTTTCATGCATGCCTGTGGAGAATGCAAAATCTCTGAATGTTGGGAGTTAGAATACCATGTTCCATTCGGCACACTGGGTTTTTTAAACCTAAGCCTTGACATTTTTTTTTTTTGCATGCTTGATTAAATTATTGAAATGTTAAAAGATTTACACATTATAATACTGTGGATTTGTCACAATTTTCCCTTGACAACTGTCAATTCATGTTTTGTATATTTTGAGGCTATATTAATACATAAAATTTAAAATATATCTTCCTTATGAGTTAGTGACCATCTTGATTTCAATTTTAATGGTTATACTAGCTCTTTTAATATTTATTTCTCTGATGTTTTTGTATTTTCAAAATTCTCTGTAGTTAACCTAAAACAGATACATTTGGAATTTAACTGTAGTACTTGGTTTGATTACTATTTTTGCCCCCAGATACCTTAATTGTGTCCTATTTCTTGAATGACAGTTTAGTTGGACATGGAATGTTTGAATTTTAGATTGCTGGTTAATTTTTTCCCATAGCACTTTGAAGATGTTATTCTATTGCTTGCTGGCTTCTATTTTGCTATTGGTCATTCCTTTGTTATTCTTTCTAGGCAGTCTCTTCTCTCTCTAGTGGTTTTGGAGACATTCGTGTTGTCTGTGATGCTGAATGAAACTTAGGGTCAGTTAAGACTTTTTTCCCTTGCTTTGAGAATCACTGTATGTCAATGCCTTTTGTTATTTCTTAGGATTTTCTTAATAAATTGCCACTGTCTCCCATCCTCAAGCTACTTTCTGGGTAATTTTCTCACATCTATCTCTCAATACTATACTTTTTACTTGAGGAAGATCTATGTGGTTATTTTTAAAGTTTACTTCGTATTTTTCTTTCTCATATTTTGATAACTACTTGTTGGATATAAAAAACACTTCAGATCTTGGGGATCTAAGAAACTTCCTGCTATTTTGTGTGCTAAACTTGCGGTGGGTTGTTCACCTATATGCTGTCTAATTTTGGGGTCTATTGTTTTATCTATGGCAATCTTGTAGCCTACATGGCTATTTGTATTTATCTGTGTCAGATGCGTCAAAAGGTGTAATAAGCCCAGGACCATTTTGTTCATTTTGGGGCTAAGTGATTCCTGGGCTGAACATGGAACAGAAATTTACACTCCAAACTAATAAAGACAGGTTTCTAGGTATCAACTGTTAGGGGAGACCTCAGCCTCACCCCCATCCTGAGACTGAGCCCAGAAAGATAAGCTTCTTTTGTTATAACTTGTGCTCATGGAAGAGTGTTTTTTTTTTTTTTAACCATTTCAAGGCAATCATCTCCCTTTGTGGGTTCCAGCTTTATGTGATGAACCTCGCAAAGGCCACATGAACCCTAGGCTTTTTATTTGTCTCAGTGTGGGTAATACCACGCTCCTGCCATGTTTACCTGAGTAGTCACAGGTTACTGAAATCAGCAAGGGGCATTTGTACCATCAATTGCAAGTTTTCAGCTTATTGCTCTGGTTTATAGTTCATGCACTTCTAGTTCATAAGAATTATCTTCTTTAGGGGGGATTATCTATGCTTTAAAAAGGATGTCTATTATATATTATTCAATGCTTCTAGGTATTTTGTAACAGGTAGGTTTTCAGGTTATCTAATCCATCACATTACCAGCAACTTTAAATTTGATTTTTGTTAATTCTTTAAAGGTTTGTTCTCTTACCCTCACTCTTTTTTTCCTCTTTTTACACACACACACACACACACACACATATATATACACAATAAATACAATTTTAACTGTTACTATTCCCAGAGGTAGAAATTAAAAGCAAAAAGCAGTAGTAGTTAGGAACCAGTCTCAATCTGTCAGCTATGTAAAAGCATCCTTCCCTGTGGTACTTTCCAATAAAAATTCTACATGACTAGTAGAGGACAGCATGATAAGAACACAGAAGTAAGACAATATATTTGTGCTTTGGTTTTGACACTGTTATAACCAACACTGAGACCTCTGACAAGACACTTCAACCTCTTATGGCCTTTTTTACCTGCTCATGAAGATGTTTATGAATCTATGATCACACTGATCAATACCTGTACTGTCTGTCTAGGAATACACAGATTTTAAGAATCTTAAAATAAGAATATTAATGTATGTGTAAATTCCTAAAGTTTATATTGTAATTTATTTAACTACAACAATGCTGATGTTAGATGTTCAATAAATTTTAAAAAAGTTGCAACATCAGTTTAACTAACCAGTAAATATACTGCATGAACCAAATAACACATTGTACAAACCACATCTTATTATGTTATTCTCAGAAGTGACTGCATACTTCATACTACCTTAGCTTTTGGAGTGGCTTTAATCGTCCATATGCAGTCAACTGCTTGGCCAGGTTTTGTCTTTTCCTCTTGTTCTACCTGACTAGAACGCACTATTCCATCAGCTCCTGACAGCTCAAACTGGCAATCTAGAAAGAACAGATGAATGATGTTCAAAGGAAAATAAGACTAATCAAAGATGCCATGAGAAAAAAAAGAGGTAATATACTAAACCTGGGATGGGATTTAAAATACCTCCTAGGTAAGTAAAGTCTGGATCTGTAACAGAGAAAAGAAGAAAGTGATTGGCACTGAGATATTTTAGAGTTAATTTAAGGCTTAATGTCTTATATCTAATGCTGCATTTAATAACAAAGCAAGAGAAAGCTTTCATTGGTGTATACTACAAAGCACTGCTCTCTTACAGGATTGATGTTTTTAAAAATGATAATGCTTATATTTTTGGTCATATTGTGAATTAATAACTTATTTATGCTACCTGAAAACTTACAACTCTTTCTCAACTGCAGTAGCTAGTAGTAAGATACAGACTACAATGAAATATTATCCAGTCTTAAAAAGGAATGAAATTCTGACATATGCTATATAACATGGATGAGTCTTGAAACATTATGCTAAGTAAAATAAGCCAGACAGTTAAGGACAGTGTAAGATTAAATTTACTGAGGTGCCCAGATTAGTCAAATTAATAGGGATTGTTTTCACAGGGTTGCAGGGATAGGGGAATTGGAGTTCAGTATTTCATGGGGACAGAATTTCAGCTTGGGAAGACAGAACAGTTCTGGAGATGGACAGTGGCTATGGCTGCGCAACACTGCGTATGTACTCGATGCCACCGACTTGTACATTTAACAGGGCTAAGACAGTGAGCTTTACGTTACACATAATTTACTCCCGCTCACCACAGTAGCAGCTGTGAATGCGTGCGCTCAGTTATGTCCAGCTCTTTGTGACCCCACAGGCTGTAGCCCGGGCTTCCCTGGGAACTCAGGGAAGCAGGCAGGCCTGATGCCCACCCCACTGATAGCCTTGGGCTTCCCTAGTGGCTGAGACGGTTAAGAATCAGCCCGCAATGCAGGAGACCCGGGATCAAGCCCTGGTTTGGGAAGATCCCCTGTAGGAGGGCATGGCAGCCCAGCCCAGTATTCTTGCCTGGAAAATACCCATGGACAGAGGAGCCTGGGGGCTACAGTCTATGGGGTCACAGAGTTGGACAGGACTGAGTGACTAAGCTACAGGCTGTAGCCCACCAGGTTCCCCTGTCTTGCCTGGAATTTTCCAGGCAAGAATACTGGAGTGGGTTGCAATTTCCTACTCCAGGGGATCTTCCTGACCCAGGGATCAAACCCATGTCTCTTGCATTGGCAGGCAGATTCTTAACCACTGAGCCACCTGGGAAGCCAACTGTAGTAGCTTAATGAGCTGTATTTTCACAATGGCAGTAAAAAGAAAGATGACTAAATGATATATAGGATATTCTGCCCTGTGAAACAGTACACAGAAAGTTGACAACCAATACTTTATAGTGAAATAACTGATTTAATTAAATTGGACAGGTATTTGATTTTTAAGAACTAAATCAATTAACTGAATTGATACTTCAGCACCAAAAATACATCATATAAAAAAGTCTTACATAGAGTCAGGTTTTTGCAAATACGTTTAGACTACCTGAAAGAAAAAAGGTACCTTAATCATTTGAACAATGCTTTTAAAAATATTAAAAAACAAAGTCAGGCAACTTTATATGTAAAGATTCTTGGAAGAAAAGCAGCTCCTTTTCTATTATATGTATCATGAGAGCAACTTCATATGGTTTATGGTTAAAATATAGACACATTAAAATAAGAATAAAATGTTTAAGATTTCTAGACTAATTACCTTACATTTGCATTTTATAGTACTTCAGAGTTTCTACATACCTTATGTTTAATATTATGCTACTAACAATAACATCAAGATCATCTAATATTCTATTTTATAGACGAGCAAACTGAATCAGAGAGAGATGATGACCGTTTTAGATAATATAATGGCAAAATCAGCACTAGATTCTAAATCTCTAAACAATTTTTCTTTCTCTATCATGTTACTTTTATAATGTGGGTGAGGATGCCACAATCTTACTACTAAAGAAAAAAAAGGTCAAATAGGCAACTCATGAATAGCTAAATCATGGCTATCTAGTTATTTAAGCCATATTTATAAAATAATTTTGTCCAGGGATTTGTAAATGTGGATGAAATCTACTAATGATGAGAAACTAGTATCTTTTACATACATGAAATTCTCTGAGCTACTGGTGATATTTGTTGAGGCAGAGGCTCGTAATGGGTTCCTACTTCCTGGAAGTAACTGGAATAACTCTGAAAATTTTAGTGCAATAATGACAATATCCCTAGAATTCTTGCCTACATGTAAAGTTCTGACTCACTTGCCAGATAGTTGCTGTGATTTTTTTACTCTAATGCTGGTTAAGATTTAGATTTCTCTTTGACACATCTCTGTAAAATTGGTGAAGTGTTGTTACTTTCTTTTATTTACGGAGGTTGGGTTAAGTTAAAAAAGAATAGTCTCTGTGATGTATTCTAAATTAAGCTAAAATTTTTCCTACATTTTTCAACATGTACTTTGATAATCATGCTGAAAGTCAATGGTTAAGATTCCGTGCTTCCACTGCAGAGGGCATGGGTTCAATCCCTGGTCAGGAAGATTTTGCATGCCATGGAGCATGGCAAAAAAAAAAAAAAAAAGAAATTAACAAGAATTAAGCAATCAGTTACATATAAAAAACTGTCAATTAAAATAGGTTTAAACAGGCTAATTAAAGATTCTAAAGATATTTTAGACTAGCAATTTTTTCATTCTGACAAGTTTATATATATGTCTCCTATGTGAATTTTCAAATTAAGTTTTTTAAGACATCTGTTTATAATTTTAAAATTTATTTTTATTGTAGTAAAATTTAATATTTACCCTAGCATCCATTTTTAAGCATACAGTTCAGTGGCATTATGTATATTCACAATGCTGTGCAAACATCACCACTCTCCATTTAAGGAAAAATTTAAGACAAATTTTAATATGATACAGCAAATTGCACTCCATGGTACTTAGCCAAATGAGTTAAAAACTTGTTCACACAAATGGCTGCATGTGGATGTCTACAGTAGGTTTATCTGTGGTTGCTAAAACCTGGAAGCAGCCAAGATATCCTTCTACACAATAAATAAACTGTGGTACATTCATACAATGAACAAACTGTGGTACATTCATACAATGAAGTATTATTTGGCACTAAAAAAAGAAAAGCTACCAAGCCATGAAAAAATACGGAGGAACCTTAAACAAATATTCCTAAGTGAAGAAGCCAGCCTGAAAAGGCTACATACTGTAGGCTATGTCATACTGCATGGCATTCTGGAAAGGGCAAAACTATGGAGACAGTAAAAGGATCACTGGTTGCCAGGGTTGGAGTGGGAGGGATGAATACGTGGGGCACACAGGGCTTTTAGGGCAGCTGGAATACTCCATATGATACTGTATTGGGATATATCATTACATCACTACATCTACCCAAACTCACAGAATGTATGGCAGCAAGAGTGAACCCTAATGTAAAGTGCAGACTTTAGGTGATGGTGCTGTGTCGCTGCAGGTTCATGAGTTGTAACAAATGTACCCTGGGTGCTGGATGTTCAATTTCAGCGGTAGCTGTGTGTACGGGGGTGGTTAGAAGGTATACCCTAACTCTGTAGTTTCTATTCAGTTTGCTATAAGCTTAAAATTTCTGGAAAAAAAAAAAAAGTGTAAATTTTACTTTCTGAAAGTGTTATCATTTTGACATTGAGAACTTAAATACTGAAGTGACACTTAAAACTAACAGGTAAAAAAAGGCTGAATATATTGTTCAGGGGAAAAAAAAAGACTGATAACACAGTTGAAAGAATAGCATGACCTCTGCTATATAAAATAAACAAAATAAAAAGATAAAAACATCTGAAGTGATACATACCATATTATTTATATTGGTTTTTTATTTATAGGGTGATAAAGTTATGATGTTTTCATTTGGCTGTTCTAATTAAAAAATTTTTTTAAGTTAGTATATTTCTTGCATGAAAACATAAATAAAAAGATTATATGATTCTTACATTAAGTTACTTTTTCATCTTGTTAAGTCTGTGAGTTCTTTGAAGACAGGAGTAATAACTAGTGTATCTTCGGGCTTCTGCATTAGGGATACGCTTACGATTACAGTGGACAGGTTCTGAGGACTACAAAGCGTTTCCCCATTAACTGCGGTAGGTAAGATGGAGATCCTCTCCCACCACCCAAATATATGCCCACATCACAATGGTCACAACCTATGACTATTACCCTATAAGGTTAAAAGGTTACCTTATTACCTTATAAGGTTAAAAAAAGTGAATACTACATTCTAAGGCAAAGGATGTGATTAAGCTAAGCATTCTGAGAAGATGGGTGGGGGGAGCTGTGAAGATGGAGGCAGAGGTTAGAGTGATGAGGCCACAAGTGCAGGAATGCTGGGGCAGCCGCCAAAGAGGCTAGGAAAGGATTATCCCCTAGAGTTCCGGAAGTGACCCTGCTGGATGCTGGCCTCCAAACTCTGAGATAATAAATTACCATGTTTTCAGCTGCCAAGTTTCTGGTAATTACTTATGGCAGCCTCACGAAGATATTCCTATCTTATCAACAGCAATGCTCAGGCACAAGTCCTGCTTAATACTAAACTTTATAGCTAGTAGGTGGCACAGAAAAGATTCAAACCAGATCCTTTGCCTCTTAAGTACAGAGCACTATTCTTTCTACTGTTCAGTATTTTCTAGGGACTGTTTATTCAAATGAGTGTTTAATTCAACCATTCCAAATGGAAAAAACCTGCCAAAATAATTTTTGGTAGAGATCATAAAAAGACAATTTGTTGAATTAATTTTAAAATCTATTTACTGTCATGTCTTTGGCCTTGATATATGCTATAAAACTTAAAGAAATCTAAGAAACAATATAACACCATATATGATATGCCTCAAAATTCAAGTGTACAGCTTGATTTCTAATTTTTAAAAAATATTTATTCATGGGCTGATTTCCCTTTGACTTCGGTAATTTCTTTAAAACCTTTATTTGATAAACTTGACTGTATTTTCTGTTTTTTAGTTTTAAGATTCTAAAACCCGTCAGACCTCGCTGCTAAAACAATAACTTATTTACCTGGGATAAATGAATATTTTGCTCGAAATCCCAGTCCTTCAAGTTCTTCATCAGAACTGAACTTAATCCACATGAATCTCCCTGTTGATCTAATTAATGGAGGGCTTTTCACACCACAGTAACGATCTATAAGTGGAGAGAAACCAAATGGCCCATCTCGAATTTCCAAGTGATCAAACCGACATTCAAATGATGGTTCTATATAATAATGTTCATCAAAGGTCAATTCTATTCTTTGACGTGGAGCAGCTAGAAAAAAAGATTAAGTAAATCAGGGCAAGTGAACAAGAAAAAGTAAAAATGTCCTGACACAGTGAGAAAAGCACAAACTGCTCTGTTACTGTTTTATAGATGATGATCATACTCAAAGTTACTATATATAAAATTCATAATAAATGTTATATTGTATGTTAATAATAATGCTATCTGTAGAATTACAGTAATCTTTCTCTTTGGCATATGCTATATATTAAATTAGTTAAATGTAGCAGCATGCTCAAAATTAAAAGAATTGAGAAGCTAATGCTTAATTCATGAGATACAATGTACCATGATGGAACAGAAAAACAGAAGAAATGAAAGAAACATATAATGTAACTATGGACATAAATTTGTATAAAGCCTAATAAGAGATGTCAGTAAGTTTAAGTTTCTTATCAGAGAAGTTTCCCATATATACTGATGCATTTAGTTAAATGTATTTTAGGAGAATAAAAATTCTTATAAAATTTCAACCATTATTTTGTTAATGTTGGAAGTATTAAGAAATATTTATAATGATTAGGATTTAATTAAAATACATATTTAAATTTTGTTCAAACTGGTTTAAAAAGAGCATTTAACCAGTTATTTAGTTTTACAAAAAAAGTTACCATTCATCCAATGAAAAACAGAAATTGGTCAAATACCTTCCAAAATGTAGATACATTCCTTGTTTGGTGGATATGAGTCAGGATAATTTGGTGAAGCAAAATGACCTCCATTGCTGGTTCGAACCCAAATGCCACACTGGGTTGCAGGAACGTGCTTCATTCCAATATTTTGTCCATCTTAGGGAAAGTTTAAAACATTAGTTACAGTTTCCCCTACAACTTCCCCAAACAACTGCCCACTGAGTTACACACACACAATTTTTAAGAACCATTGTCAAATTTAGCATAATAGATTGAATACAGCAGAAGCATTTGCTCTAGAGGACAAATCTGCCATGTAAAAGAACAGGGAAATAAAATGCTTAGATTTTACAAGGGCAAAAACATGTAGGAGAATCTGATAAATTAGTAAAACTCTATAAAATTCAATTCTGACACAAAAATAAAAGAATTCCAGGAGTTTATCTCAGGTATGGTACCTCCACATTTAGTTTAACTCAAAGTGAAATAAGATTTAAAGATTGCAAAGGGCTTTTATTTTAGTTAAACGTTGTAGATTGAACACATGCATTTAGCTCTGCTCCTTTTTCAGAGTCCACTTAAACAACAATAAATACTTTTTTTAAGGGCATAAACCCGTAAGTACAAATAGATAGATGCAATAATAACTACTGGTAGTAGTAGGTATCTCTAGAAGCGGAGGTGGAAGTGGTGAATTTGGGTATTTTTAAAAACATGAGGCTCGGTTAAAAGTCTCTGCAATCAGTTTTACTCCTAATGCCCTCTCCCACTCCACAAATCCAGGTAGATGCCGCTCTATCACCACATCAGAAAATAATTCTATTTCTTTGGAGAAAGCAAACAGGGTTGCTGGGCCAGGGAGCATCAGGCACAGCAGAAGGTGAAAATACCAACATGAAGACAGGGAGATGGGCTGAACGGTAACATGCTGAACCACACTCCCCTCCTCCCCCGCCCCACTCAACTCCCCAAAGGCCTCTGGGTCAGATATAGAGCCTCTAAGCAGGAAATGCAATCTTAACCTTTTCTGGGGAAACTGATGAGTCCAAAGAAAAATATTCATAGGTGGATTCAATCATTCACCAGGAAAGGCAGCAGTAAAAAGCCCTGTCTACACTTGCAGACGGCTAACAAGCAGAGCACCAGACATGTGAGGGAAGCCTCCAATGTGAAAAACAGATTAAAGACGAATAAAAAAGCGACTCTGAAGAAGCAAAGATTTTAGAACATTAAAAAAAAAAAAGCACTAAACCAAACTACCATTTAATCTTCTCAGAGAACAAGGGAACAAAGGGCCTTTGAACAACACAGGTGTGAACCACGTGGGTGCAGTCTAAGTGTGTAGTTCGCGTCTGCGGTTGGCTGAACGTGAGGATGCAGACCTCAAACACAGAGGGCCGTCAGCAGTCACAGGCAGGTTTCTGACTAACCCTAAACTCTAATCCTAGCCTCTGCACTGTTCAAGGGTCAAATGTGCATCTATAACACAAGAACACAGCATACTCTGAAAAAGAGATTATTTAGAAAACAAAAGAAAGTTTCTAAAAATAGAATTAAAAAAAAAAACAATTTAGAGCAGAAGTGGCTCAGACTGTAAAGAATCTGCCTGCAATGCAGGAAACCCAGGTTTGATCCCTGAGTCGGGAAGATTCTCCGGAGAAGGGAATGGCTATCCATTCCAGTATTCTTGCCTGGAGAATTCCATGGTAGACTACATACAGTCCACAGGGTCACAAAGAGTCAGACACCACTGAGTGACTCACACTTTCACTTCCCATAAACTATGGCCTTGGACCAGATCTGGTCTGCTGCCTGTTACTGTAAAATCAAATTCAGTGGAATATATACACGCCCATTCATGCTTTTACCCTACAGCTGCAGAGCTAAGTAGGTGCTCCTGTGACTATAATGGCCTGCAAAGCCTTAAACAATTACTATCTGGCCCTTTATAGAAGAAAAGTTTTCCAATTTTTGCTTTAGAAGTCTCAGTGAAGGCTACTGAGAAGAAAACAGTTAAATGAGAAATGGAAAAACAGAAAACTTTTTTTTTTAAAAGTAACCAAATAATAAGAATTCCTTAAAGACAGGAGAGAAAATGGAGAAAAGGGAATTTTTAAAAATTAAACAAGAAAAAAGGGAAAGAGAAATTTCCTACAACCAAAGATAAAATTTTCTGATTGAAAAAGCCCAGTGGTGACTTGAACACATGTAACCAGAATTGTAAAAATACTGACATGGGTACTGCAGGTGCAAAGTTAAAAAGAACATTTATATGTAGCTGGGGGAGATGAGTAGGTGCAAGAAAGAGCTAATTTCTTATCTTCCATGGTGGGAAAATTATTATCTACTACTTCAAACTGAAATAACTGAGAATAACCATATACTTTGTTATTCTGAAATATGCAGGAAAATACCAAAAGAATCAGCTAAGAGAGCAGTTTGGTAGGCTAGTAGACTACCATGGAGAAGTGGGGTTTGGGAGGCTGGTAGACTGATTTTTCCTAATTATCTTTTTAGAATGCTTTAATTTTTGTCAGGTGTATGTATAACTTTGATGAAAATAAGTCAGGTTATTTAGGAAACGTACTAAACTCTGAAATAAAAATCTGGCTCAAAAATCATACTAGCTAATCCTCTTTCATAAACAATAACTGGAACATGTCCTCAGGGGTTTGAATAAGATATTGATGGAAATATTTCATTTGTCTCCACTGGAAAAAGGGATTTTTATTTTTTGCTTGCTGATAAAGCCTGAATCTTATTTAATTTTTGGACATAATCCATAGTGTTCTAGGAGTCACTAGTTATGCAAATTTTTAAAATGTATCAGTGTAAGACTTTACACTGTAACAATTTACTCTAGTTAACTGCAGCTGAACCTGGCTGAATTAAAGCTGATAGACTGACAGAAAGCCTTAGGTCACTGAAACACCCCAGAGGGATTATGGAAATAGTACGCCAAAGTTGTAATCCTTCCAAAAAGCCATCCTACTGCTCTGAACATGTAGTAAATTAGCATTGTAAATTCTTTACCTTGGGTCTTTTGGGCCACAGCAATTCCTTCCACTACAAGTATTGTTACTAACAACACTAGAGAAATAAGAGAAGATAAGTTAAAAAGTTGATCTATATTAGATTTTACCAAGTTTATGAGAAAAATGAGATGACAAAAAAAAAAAAACGAACTAAAACCTATTTCTTACTAACATTCACACTCAATACTGTTAATTGTTATGCTCTTGAGTTACTATTTGACAAGATAACCCAAGAAAAAACACAATTGATATCACACTCATTTATACAAGCACTAATAAGTACATTTTCAATTTATGATGAATGCAAAAATACATACCTTTTTTTCCTTGTACAATGAACTGTGCTGATCCCAATTATCCTCTATTTACTGTACTCTACCTCCTCAGACCTTACACGCATTATGGCTAGCTTTGCAATATATTATGCCAGTAAAAGTTCAAGTAGATTATATGACTTGTAAGAACATCCATAATAAAGGCAGCGGTCTCCTAGAAATCAATTCTAGATGTTCTATAGCTGTGCTACTGTGCTGTGTCCTGCATTACAAAAGCTAGCACTACTTAGAAGCTAGCACCACTTAGCACTACTCCCCCCACGTTTAACATTTCTGATCCCCAATGAATAATCTATTGTTTTGTATATGTTTGTGTTTTGACGGTAACACATTCTTTTTAATGGTGCACCGGTATCTTTCACTCTCTCAATGGAAACCACATTATCAGCCTCTTGTGTGAAATGGAATTTGTATTAGGCATTCAGTCAGTCAGCAAGCATGCCAGAGCACCTACTGGATAGCAGGCACAGAGGATGCACAGATTAACGCAGGAGAGACATAAAGCAAAACAATTATAAGAGAATGGACTTCCAAGGAGTTAGGTGGATTTAGGTTTGGGGTTCAAATTTTGGTTTCTACCAGCTGTGAGACCTTTTCAGCTCAGTTTACTTGTTTGCAAAATGGGGATGCTGTACTAATAACACCAGCCACACAGGCTGTTGTGAAGATGAAATGAGATGGTGATGATGCACACTGCACAGAGCCCTTTCTATGTGCTGGGCATTCTGTTAAACCACAGAGAGTGGGACAGACTTTCATCCTGAGTCAACCTACTGTCAAAGACAATCTACAAGGCAAAAAAGGTTTAGCGGGGATTACACAGAAAACGACGGAAGCAGAAAAGGGAACCACTTGTTCATTCTGTTGGGGGTAAGAGGAACAGAGTGAGGAAAACTTTAGGGAAAAAAGGTCTATTCTAGTGAAGCCTAATAGAACTTCTACCCAGGAGAGGGAGAAAGAAATAGCATAGACAATGAAAACTCACCTAGGAAGTGTTAGTGAATCCTGAGTAGGACAGAACAGTTAGCATGTGGAGGGGAAAAGGGATACATCAGGTTAGAAATAGCAGGATGAGGGTGTTCCCTGGTGGCGCAGTGGATGAGAATCCCCCTGCCAGTGCAGGAGACATGGGTTTGATTTCTGGCCAGGGAAGACTCCGCACACGAGGCAACTAAGCCTGTGAGCCACCACGACTGAGGCTGCCTTCTGCAGCTACTGAAGCCTGCATGCCTGGAGCCCGGGCTCCACAAGAAACCACGGCGACGAGAAGCCTGTGCGCTGCAACGGAGAGCGGCCGCAGCGCGCTGCAACTAGACAAAGTCCAAGGAGAGCAACAGAGACTCAGTGAGGGCAAAAAGAAAAAAAGGATGAGACCTGATTTTAAAAAGCCTTGAACGCCATGCTGAAGAGTTTAAACCTTTGACGACAAGGAGAAATAACTGAGTTTTCTTTTTTTAAACTAGAGAGTGACATTATCACATTTGTGTTTCAGATCACTAATCTTGATGATTGTGTGGAATCTAAATTTTTAAAAAGAGAGGTCATTTAGGAAGGAAAGATGCTAAGGTCTTGAAGCAGAGTAGTGGTAGTATAAATGGGGAGGAGGAGAGATTTATGACATGATTATGACTCAGATGTAGTGTTACCTGCATCTAGTAACTTAAAGGATGTTTAGGGGTGACAGAAATGGAGGCACAGAAGAGATTGCTAGTGAAGGGACTGGCAGATGGTCAAGCCATTCTTCACTCAGTACCATGTACTAGGCATCTACTACTCAAAGTCACCAATGTACAAAGAGTTCTTGTGATCTTGTGTTGTTTACATCTTCTAATCTAATCATACATCTTCATCTTTGGTTTGCTGTATCCTTGTTGACCTCTGTTTCCTCTGTCAACTCTCAACAACTTTAATTACCCCTCCTTTTCTTTGGTTGCTAGTAGTACTGAAGATCTCATGCTAGGTAGGAACAATCCTTTCTCCAAACTCTTCACATCTTTGCACTGGCTCAGAGTTAGGGGAATAGAGTTTTGAAACACTGTTTAAAAAAACAAACACAAAACACATAAGATTCCTGATCAAAAAGAAAAATTAGGGCATCCTCTAGTGGTCCAGTGGCTAGGATGCTGAGCCTCGTCCTCTGAGGGCCTGGGTTCAATCCCTGGTCTGGGAACTAAGATCCTGCAGGCAGTAAGAAAAGGCCAAAAAAAGAAAAACAAACTAGAATAATAATAGATATTTGACAATTCAGCAAATATCAAAACTGTATCAATGTATCTTGACAGAGGACACTATTTCCTAAGATATATCATCTTAGATGATATACAACTGGTCAAAATTTTGTGCTCATTGTACCTTTCCTCCTGATTCACAGGCATAACAATTTACCAGTTTTCACAGTTGTAATTCATAGTATGTAAGTAATACAAAGTCAGGCAGAAAGGGAAAGTAAGAAATCAATAAATCGAAACCAGGAGAACAGTAAAACTATGGCAAAAAGATGAATTGTGCTTGGAAAATTATACTTTATAATGACTAAAAAAACCATGTCTTTTTAAAACATGATTTAGGTAATTTGCACACAATATACAACTGAGGTAGAAAAATCATATTAAAAATAAATTAGACCAAATAACCTTGTTATTCCTTCTACTTTATATAGGGTGTTGCTCACAATCCCCCTCCCCAAATGTTACTACTCACAACTCAATCAACCAAATGAACTATGCCACTGAATAAAAGGAATGGATAAGGCAAGTTTGAACAACTGGGGACAGAAATATATAGTGATAGCTGTGATGATTCAGTTGTAACGATTAATCATTCTAAATTCTGTATCATAATAAACATAGTTTTCCCCCAGTTGTACAATAGGATCTTTGCAAACTGCTTGCTATAATCAGGCTGAGATATTAAAACAAACCCCACTGATGCCAAACATTGGAATTATCCAGTACGTGAAGCAGTGCTGTTGTGCTCTGTTCTGTCCTTAGCCCTGATCTATGTGTCACTTGTTCCCTTCTTTCTCTTACCAAAGGGTCAATAATTTCTCAAATCCAGAAAGATTTCACACTTTGAATTCAAAAACAACATACCCAGGAAGGCACTAATTCTTTAAAGCAGAAATCCATGCCAAAAAAAAAAAAAAGAAAAGAAATTCATGCCAAATTAAAGATTCTAAACTCCACAACCCCAAAGTTTAGTTACGCAGAGAATTGCTTGCGATCTCATGTTTGAAAAAAGTAGTACCCACCAGGTATGTTCTCACCTCTGATTTTGCAGTTTAGCGTAGGGTACTATACAGATCTGACTTAAACATGAAGGCCTAAATGATAAAGACAGGTGCTCTTCAAGGTATTAAATAAAACCCTCCAAGCTACTCCTGTGAACCTTGAATCATTGTTATTAGCATTCCACCTGCAATCTTGTCTCCAGACCTTCCAGTTTAAGGCTGTACTTTTCAATCAAGTAAAAATCAAGGGCAGGTTTATTCTTTTCACTGTTACTTAATAGTGGCAACTCTGGCCAATACAATAAATACTGGAAAGGAGGCAAAACTATTATTTATAGACAATGTTATTTTAAAACCCACCAAGTCCCAAGAGAATTACCAGGAAAATTATTACACCTATTAAGGGAAGGGTGTAAGACTAAATTAAACAGGTAAGTAAATAAATGTAATACAATAGAGAAGTAATACATTTTGGAATGTACTGGAATGAAACACATTGGAATGAAACAATGTAAAGATAACAATTCTTCCCAGTAAGTCATATAATATTTAATGATGTTTTAATAAAAATCTTAGCTTTTTTCTAGATACTTAAAATGCTTTTGATGGTCATCTTAAAGACTTTTCCATATTGGCCAAGAAAAATATAAAAAAATTCATAAAAATAATATGCTTAAAATAATAATGCATAAAAATAATAAAGCTACAAGAACTGTAAAATGTAGCAATGGTGGAGGAAGAAACTGGTATCTGTCAAAAACATTACTAGCATTCACTGCACTGCAGGTCGCTGAGTCAGTCCCTGGAACTACAATGAAACAAAAAGACATGGCCTTTATTCTTTTTTTTGTTTGTTTGTTTGTTTTTTATTACTATTTTGTAACAGACTTTCTGCATAACTCATTGATGTCTTAGTGTTGTTTTTCTGTAGAAAAGAACTCTTGTTTTTTGATAGAGTAGAGGTTAACCAAATTTTATAGCTTAGTTAAACTATTTTTTGCAGATGACCAGAATTATGCCATTACTATAAATTATCTTAAAACTCTATGTACATAAAGACTGGCCATTTAATGAATGTATTATTCTTTGTTAACATTATAGGTGGGCTTAAATCCCACACTAAAGTGGTCATAAATAATACAGTGACTGCTAAGTCAAGTCAATATTAAAAGCAGAGTTTTGTGGTGCATCTTTAAGTACCAGCATTCTCAGGGCTCCAGTTTAAAAAAAAAAAAAAGAAAGACAACACAAAGTCATGAAGCAGTAGTTTATCCTCCCTCCCCCTCCCACCAACCCCCAATTTATCTAAGTTTTATGGGCCTTTTTCTTCTCATGAAAATTATTCTCTCACATCATGCACATGTATCTGGATCTGAACTGCCTGTGGATTACACCTTGAATAGATTCCCCCAACTGGAGGAGCGCAAATGTTCCCCTTCTGCATGGCCTTTATTCTTAACGGGCTTTTAGGTTAGAAAATGGAAGAAAAGA